TAAGTTTAATATAATAAAGTTAGTTAAGTAAAGATATTTCCTTTTATAAAACTTTTGTTTATTTTGTTGTTCAAGTCTACAGTACAGTAGTCTATATATGAAAACATATCCACACATATAATGAACTAATTATCGTTTGAGTTATTGATGAAAATTAAAATCCAGAGCAAACTCATTGCTACAGTACTACTGAAAGTAAGCACTTGTAGTGAGACCTCAATTGGAAATCCGAGTCCACAGAGACAGAGAAAAGGAGATAATAGAGAGACAGAGATATATCCATGACTTGAGATAAAGTGGAGGAAACCTAAAAACAAGAAAACAATAACTAACTAAAAGTAAAATTAAACTCTTATTTCGTATGTATTGCCACAGAGTTCATGAAATATTAGACCAACAAATGTCTTACAAGTGAATAGTTTATTGTTTGTGACCATTGCTTAACAAATAAGTGGTAAACCATTTTGTGTCACTAAAAACCAACATTTCCTTCAACGTTAAGATATATTTTGTTGCTATTATTTTCATGTCCTTAATATCAACATATAATTGATTTCATATTTCATATGCTTTATGATATATTAAACATAATGTTTGACTTACTATAACTATAATATTATGAGATAACCAAAAAAATCCCAAAACATAAAATATGATATTTATAAGTTTGGATATTAGAAAGAGTCTATATAAATAGTAGTGATGAAAATTAAGAATCAATATTATGAATTTTTATATTATTGATTTTATGCCAATTGTTTTATTTTTATTATTTATAATTCATATATTTTCAAGTATTTATTTTGAAAAAACAAACAAAACAAACTTAACTATCGATTTCAATGCAAATATTCAATTGGTTAATAAACCTCTGTCTCACTCATTCTATGTCTCATTAATTTACTGAATAAAAATAATACCAAACTCTCTCTCTCTCTCTTTCTTTCTTTCTTTTTCTCTCTCTCTCTCTCTCTCTTTCTCTCTCCACTTACTATTGTCAACACTAAAGTTTATACAATTTCAGTGGCTTTTGTGTGTTGAATAGTAATATTGTTTGTTATTATTATCAATGGGAAGACATGGATGAAAAATAGAGAGGAAAGGCATAAAAATGACTAATGGTTTTGTTATCTAAGATGAGCATTGATTAACATTTGCCATAACACACACACAAATACATACTATACAATACTGTATATATATATATATATATATATATATACGGTATATACATAACAAACCAATAGCCAGAAAAAACCATTTTTATTCAATTTCTCATTCAATTCAGACATTAATTTCTTTGTATAAATACTTTTATTTTGTTATTTATAGGTATTCTATTGTATGCATTCAATGATTGATAATTTATATATAGATTTTTGCTGTATTTGTTTAAGTACTCCAAAAGTATGCGATACATAAATGGCGCCAAAAAAGTATATAATTTTTTGCAAAAATAATTCAACAACAAAAAGAAATCAATATCTTATTCTATATCAATATATTTTGCTATTATTTTATTATTATTATTATTTTGATAGGAATTCGGCTTAAACTTAACAACAAAAAAGTTTTGTTATACTTTTATCTTTAAATTTCTTTCCAATTGTAAATCCAGTTTAAGTTTTTTTTTGCGAATGGCTTTTAGAGTCACTTTATTTCAACTCACAAACTATTTTTCAATATATATATATATATATATATATATGATATAACTAAACATTTTCCTGCATCTAACATAAAAAAATTAAATGCATTTTAACTTTTAAAATAAATAAAGTGGAAGAATGGCATATAATATATATAAAACTTTGTTTAAAATACATTCATAGGAATTGTAGTCTAAAAGAAGTTTTTCTTATTTTTAGTTTTTTATATTATTGTAAAAAGATTTTCTCCATAGATTTTAGTTCAAATGTTATATATATTTTTCATCAATACTCTCATCACTTATTTCGGGTATCCGTTTGAATAGTATATACATTTAAATTTTCTTCAAATTCAATGCTTAGGCAATATCACTGAATATAAATTTTATGAGTATAACTGTAGGATAGAAAAAAATAAACTAAAAACCAATTTCTATGTCAATACTATTACTGTATTTTGGCCTATATTTTTAGATCACGAAATAGCCATACGTAAGCATTAGTAGGGGTATTAAGTGAAGAGAGAGAGAGAGACATTGTTGTCGATATAAACAAAATAATAAGGGATCAAATGCTAACTTTTTCCATTGTATAATATTATTTGATTTGATAGAATATTATACAGTATTATTTATATCAAATATTTGTAATATATTTTCCAATATAAGTAATAGTATAATAAATTTTACAATTTATATGACACAAATTTGTCTGGTTTTATTGAACTAAATTCTTTTTATACATTATGTAACAATAAATCAAAATTTAGTTTATCTGATAACATATGCATTAAGATTAATTAAATTGAAACAAAAGAGTTAATACTTTGAATGATAATTTAACAAACTTAATAAACACATATTTTTGTATGAATTCACAAGTTTGTATCATTTAAAAATTAATAATTATAAAATACTAATTGATTATTTTTTAAATTTTAATTTAGTATAACATTTAAATACAACACTGTATAATATTAATAATAAACAAAAAAAAATAGAGTATTAAACTTTAGCATTTTATTATTATGTCAATTTTGATGAAAAATGAAAATATTATCCCAAATCCCAATTGTAATAGCTTTGAAAAAGTGTCAAAATTTTTCATCAAAAACTCAAAATTGAAATCAAAACCATAATTCAAATACTAAATCAATGTTTTATTATATACTTTGGTCAGTGTCGGTGACATTGAAACTCTTATAGACTACTGATATCTCTCTCTCTCTCTCTCTCTCTCTCTCTCTTTTATTTTCAATGAATATCTTTATTATGCGATGTCTTCTGAATTTTGGTTTTCAAAAACCCTCTCAAACGAAAACAAAGATTAATGTCTTTCAATAAGTTATTCACAATATATATGGTATATATCGCATGTAATTTATATTTAGTGACACAAGTCTACAGTATATAAAAATAGTTTTTTTTAGCATTACTTTTAAACCATAAAAATGTAAAAGTTTTTTTCCTAAATGAAAGTCGTAATAATCAATCACTTGCACTGAATGGACAACAATAAAATCCCAGTGCTCTCTCTCTCTCTTTCTTTCTCTCTCTCTCTCTCTCCTACTTTACATTAGTTTCAATTCCATATACAAGACTCTTAAAAGTGACTATTATTTGTAAAAACTATGAAAATGTTTAATATAAGTTGACATTAATTGATGAGACACCAAATAAATCAGATTATAATATAAGATTTTTAATATGTTTTTTAAAAATATTATTCAAATTAGTTGCATTTCAAACTAATAATATAAAAAATTATTATTAAATTAATTTTTAAAGCAAATTTATTTATAACTATGATATAATTTAAATTAGCTAATTAAGTAAATCCACAAATATTTAATTGTAAATTTAATAAGTTTTTCTATTTTTAAACAAATTTATAACCATTTTTTAAATAAAGATATTTAATTATAAACTAAATAATTATTTTTTACTTTAATAACTAACACTATAAAGTAAAATACAAATAATTATATTGAGGTCATTAAATAAATGAAAGATTTAATAAAATTTTGTGAACCTTTTTTATTATATAATATACAATATTATTATAAACTATAACGATTCATATTATTATTTTTACAGTAAAGCACACAAAAAATTAGTTTAAAATAATTGCATCGTTTTAAAAAACATTTTGTTGTTGGCTTAAAATTTGAGAAAATCAATAATATTGACGCCCAACAGTACATAAAACTATTGTATTATATACTGTATAATATATTGTAAGTATAATACCGTATAATAAATACTGTATATACTCAATAATATATATATATATATATATATATATATATATATATATATAAATTATATATAAAAATATACTTTATATATATATATAATAGTTAGAGACACTATTTTCAACATGTATTTAGAGAATGGTATAAATACGATATAAATTATATTTATATATAATATATGATATATATAATAATAATAAATACAGTATATATATATATAGGGACGCGGATCAGTTGCCAACAGTTTTCCATCATTTCAAATACATTATGCCTTAAAGCGTATAGTTATCTCAATTTTCGTCTCTACCGATGTGCTACAAAACAATTAATTTATCATATATTTTGCTAATATAAATATATGAGAAATAACACTTAATGTTGTCTATATATATATATATATATATATATATATATATATATTACGACATTTTAGTTATTTTAGATAAAGAAAACAGTTTTTTCTATCGAAATAATATCAATAAATTTATCACATATGAGACAAATAAGAGAACAAATATTACTATAGTATAGTAATACTTTGTAGTACTGAATATACTGTATATAAAAATTATTGACAACTCTTATTATTTTCATCCCTTTAAGTGCACTTAAATTTACCATTTGGAGGTTCAATCAGTTTTTATACAATATGTGTTATAGTCGACTATACAATACAGTTAAATTATACAGTAGATAAAAGTTGTAAAATTTATAAGAAAATTTAATAGATATTTTTTCAATAAATATACTGTAAATTTATATATCATATATTATAATAATGCATAAAATAATTTATTACATTTTGTTTGACAAAAAGTTATTTTTCGCTAAATTAGGTATAGGATAATATAATATATTATAATATAAATGATGTACAGTTTAAATTATTTGGTGTTTAACTTAATTAATAAAAATGCTGTTGAAAATTACATGCCGTATAAATATCATAATTTAACAAACATAATAAAATTTAGTATAATTTGATTAATTTATTAATAAATTAAAAATTATATTCTGCCAATAATATTTCTATCACATACAGTATTATTATTATTAATAATATTAATATCAATTGATTGTCTATTAGTTTAGTGGTGATGTCGACCAAAGATAAGACCAAAATTATTGAGAACTATATCTATGAAGATGAAGAGCGTCTCTTAGATAATGATAAACATTGTGACTATAGATCAGCTGATAAGCAGTTTGTTTGGTTGTCGTTAACTTCGTCCAGAAATTCATCCAAATTATGGCCAAAACGATGTCTTTGTTATCAGATATTCATTGTTTGCGTACTCTTTATATTTACAATGTGTTCACTATTCATACTTTTGACCAAATTATCTGAAGAATCTCAACATTCAATTAATCGTTTTATTGAACGCTTTCCATACCTGAGTCGAGACGACAGCAATGAAACCGACTCTTTTGATAAAAGTTTTATTAATACAAAGCTAAGGCACGGATCAGTTCGTGTGATCACACATTGCGGTACATTGATTGGTGGCAAAGAAAACGATGCATTTGTTTTTAAAGTAAGTCTTATTCATAAAACAATAATAATAATAATCCTAATATTTATTTACGCGATTATACGATAGTAATATTATATGTCATTTGGATTTTAATTAAATTTTTTATGTGTGACATACTGTACTTAATATAAACTATAAATATGACTCATAAATCAATAGTAATTTATTATTATTAATAAAAATTCTTTAAGTAATTTTAATTTATTATACATAATTTTAAAAATACTAATACGAAAAAGTATTAAGGAATAAATTTATGTTTATATTTATTATTATTAATATTATTATTATTATTGAAATTCTTTAGTAAAATATAGAATTTAAAGTTTAAATAATTAAGTCATTTTATATGAAATAATAAAATGTTATGAACATATTTATAGTATAGCTTATCTAACCAATTTTTTAATTACTAAGTAATTAACAGAGAAATGTTAATTTTTTTAAAAATATAGTTTTAACTTAATAATATATGTAATATTACTATAAATAAAAATGGACTTAATAAAGTTAAACATTATTTATTATTATTATTTTATGAAATACTACTAAATATTATAGAAATGTTTAATCTATGATTAGGGTATACCATACGCTGAGCCACCAATTGATGCACTTCGTTGGTCACCTCCCGAACCCGTATGTAATCCCGACAGTCACAGGCATTGCAACAAATTTGGTTCACATTGTTTTCAAGTGAATCCAATATCCAGAGTATTAGAGGGCAATGAAGATTGTTTGTATCTGAATGTGTGGACACCGACTATCGATCCGGAGGTAAGAAACACATCACACATACAATACAAGAAAAACATCAAGAATTATATTATGTGTTGACATTCAACTATATATTTAGTTGTATTTATTTGGCTGTTAAATCTCTATAGAGATTATAAATTATCATTTGATCGGAAGTCCTAATTGATTAGCCATTTGTTAGGTTTGTTGTGTTTGTTTTTGGCACCAAAAACAATGATATTTCTTGTAAATGAAATGACACAAACATATTGCACTCATAACTTTCCCTTTGTTTGCGCCATAACTCCTAATAAAATACATTTAATTAACGCGTTTACAAAAAAATAAGGTCTTTACTATTGTAAATAGTGTCTAGTACATTTATTATATTGTAACATTTCGAAATAAAAATTACTTATTGTTTTCAACAAAAAAATTCAATAAACTTAGTGATCTTTTATGTGTAAAATTGTATAAATTGAAAACAAATAAATAAATCTTTGATTTAGTGAATTTTAACAATAATATTATAATATAACTAAACATCCTAGATTACTTAACTACTATATATATAGTTAATTATATAAAATTAGTGTATTGTAGTGTTTATTTTTAATTGTAAAAAATATAATAATACAACAATCAAGAGAATAAAATGCAATAAATACAATAATATTTAGAATTAATGACAATTTAATTAACTAGTATTTTCAATTTGTAAGCTTATATTTACACTGTTATACAATTTGCTCAAATACTAAGTCTATACCATTGATTAAATCCAATTACATTACATTACATTTCTACTTTTAATTATTAGTTTCTATATATATATATAATGTTATTTAAGTATAGATTATTTAATACTGTACAGTATTACTTACAATACTAACTAAACTAATGTTATATACAGTATTATACATGTATTATATATGTAGTAATATACTGTATATAATATACATCATAACTTATATATATTTCTGTATAAAAATAAATTAATATGATTTCTTGCTAAATCATTAATTAGTTAACATTTTTATATACATTAGATACAGATCGATACTCAATTAAAATCAATGTATTTATATTCATTTGATTATATTTTTAATTATTGTATTTTTAAAGTGCAATTTATATGAGTTTTAACATAACAATGAAAATCAATTGTAAATTATTTTATTTTTTATAGTTCATTGTTATATCCAATAAGTAATATTATATTCTATGAATATCATGATTTATAATTATAGTAATTATGTTTATATCAAAACATACAATTGCTTAATTTAACATTGATTGATATCATTTTATTTTAATATTTGTATAAATGATATAAATATTCTAATAAGAGTTAACAATAAAATATAGATAACTAGAGTATATCATTATATATATATACTGTATATATATCTGTATTACTAAAAAATATCAATATTAATCACTTTACTATGCTTTTTTAAATTATTTAAAAATGTTTAATTGTCAATGTTAAATAATCAAATTTTAATAGTAATTTGACAAAAAATATTATTATTGAAATATAATAATTAATTAGATATTCATATATTTATTTTTTAATGTCACCTATAATAGGCTAACTTATCGGTAATGGTATGGATTCACGGGGGGTTCCTTCAGTTTGGATCAGGTCATCAGCCGGGTTTGAAACCTAATGGAAAGTTAGCAAAGAAGACTAACACTATCTACTTGAGTCTGAACTATAGACTCCATGCGTTTGGATTTTTAGGACTCGACTTATTGGCTAATAATACGAAAGAGTCGACAAACTTTGGTCTCATGGATGTCATACTCGCACTCCAATGGATTCAATTGAATATCAGATCATTTGGTGGCAATCACAACAAAGTCACTTTATTTGGCGCCGATTCCGGTGCAGCACTCATATTGGCACTGATGACAAATCCCATCTACCGATCCCTTTACTACAGTGTTTGGCTCATAGATCCGGCCGTCTATTTTGACCGATCGATAGCTATGTCGTCCAAAGAATATCGCAAAAACTTCTTGAAGCGAACCAATTGTCGAACCGTTGATTGTTTGAGATCACTGTCCGCTCAGCACATAATCCGTGCATTTATTGGCAAAAACGATCCGTCCTTTCGGATCATCGATCAAAACGATTTACCCATTTTAGGATTTTTTGCCGAACAACTCATTACTATTGACAGTATGTTCTCTCTCTCTCTCTCTCTCTCTCTTTCTCTTTCTCTCTCTCCTCTAATCTAATTCTTTTTTAAAAACAATTTTTAGATTAAAAATAAATTAAATGCTGTTTTTCTTAGCGATCAATTGATGTCATTAGTATTGATACAATCACTACAGTATTAGGAAAAAAATTTTAAAAACTATATAATCTTAAACAATATTAAATTAAATGATCATAAATCACACATTTTTTAAACCTAATATTAGGACTTTGAAAGTTTGGTTTATGACTTATTCAATAACTTCAATACATTATATAGATTAGCCTTTGGTATATGTTTTAACAAAATTAGTTCATCAAAAAATTTAATCTTAATTTTAATTGTTTAAAAATTTAATTTAATTTCAATCAAAGTTTATATTTTATTTTATTAATACAGTAATATAAAAATATTATATTGCATTTACATTGGCAGATAGTATAGTACTGGATTGGTATCCATTTAATAAAATGCCAAATGACATACCAATATTGATGGGGTCATCGGCACAGACAGTCAGTTTCTGGCCGGGACCGCGGGAACTCATGTCATGGACATGGGCTGACTATAATAAATACGTGACAATGAGTATGGACTCATTTGGGCCTCGACTTTCGCAATTGACTCTCAGTCTATATCAGCCGTCATCGCATCGCACAGCGGCTAAGATCACCGACGCCGAGCCAATGACACCGCAACTACAATACATAACAATGGTGTCAGATATGAGACAGATTTGTCCCATTAATTATATGTCTGAAGTATTGGCCACTAAATCACAGAATCCTTATATTTATAGATATATTTTTAACGCCAGAATCTCTAAACCGGTTAGTATTAGTATAATTTTTTACAATACATTTATTCATATCTCTAATATGTATTACTTAATTACTTACTTTAAATAAAAACACCAAAAATGTATTAAATTACAGTCTATAATCATTATAATTTAATCTTAATTACTATGAAATTAATTATTATTGTATGATTATATATTATTTTTATTAATATCTTTATCATAATGACTATTTATCACTTTTGGTAAAATTATAATTATTTTCAAATATTATGATGATATAAATTAATTTATAATAATTAATATATACTGTAGTCTCAGTTACTTATAAATTTATAATAATATTAAAATTGAATATAAAAAATTATTAATGATGTAATTGTAAATAATTTAGTAATTTATTGCAAAAATTGAAATTTTAAATAATTATATTTAAAAATATTTGTTTTTATAACTATAATATCATATTAATATGACTTATAGTAATACTTTAATTAATTGATTTATAGGTTCGTGTTTATGAATATGGAGTTAATTATAGTTTCCATTTGATGGACATCTTGTCATTCTTTGGCCAATTGGAAGTATGGATCCGTTGGCCGACATTTAATGATTACTCTATAAGTGAGACAATACAGCAAATAGTAATGGCATTTATTCAACCAAACAATAGTACAGAATTGTGGCAATCATTTCAATGGCAATCGTTTCCAAAACAAACAGCAGAAGTTGTGTCACAATTAAACTATACATCAATTGTGACCACAAATTATCATCAAACAGATCGTTGCTATTTCTGGCAAAGCGAACAGTTCTTTTCCTATATGTGGACAGTCTAGTTGTTTGGCACTGAGGACAGGGAGGCAGTCAGTCATACTATTCACTCAACATTGATATCATATATATTGCTGGAGTGGAGTGTATTATATGAATATAAATAGCATTTTGTACATAAATTTTCATTCATTCCTTAAACAATATAATATAATAATAATAAAGTAATATAAAAACAGTGTATTATATAACATGAAAAGTGTGTTTAAAGTTTACTTTAGTTTAAAGTTTATATAAATTACATTATTAGATAAACAAAGCAAATATATTTTAAACACATCCATTGTATTATATAATAAGTTTACATCTAAAACATATTTTATGATAATTTCATGAATTACCAGTTAAAGTATATAAAGTAGTGTATAAATAAATGAATAAAAATAAGAAACAATAAGTTTATAACTGTATATACTATACAATATAATTGCAACATTAATAACAATGTTTATGTATCATATATATAATAATTTATAAAATAAAAATAAAATATATAACTTTTGAGTAAATATAATAAATCTGTTTTTTATTTAATATAAATAGTCTAAAAGGTTTGAAATATTTGTTTAAAAGCATTATTTACTTTACAATATATTTTTAAATTTATATCTAAATGCATAAAACTATTAATTTTACAAAAAAATTGCAAAAGTTTTTTTCAAATATTAATATATTGTTTTTTATTCATAAATTAATATTGATGTCAAAATTTTAAAATTTCATAATATTTTTCATAATTTTATATTTAATAGTATTAAAAACTTAGATAAATTAAATATCTAAAATTGTTAAATTTAATTTAATTTATTAGTGACTGTTATCTATAAAATTATGCCAATTTAATTTTGTTAATAATTTATCTGTAGATTTTATAAAATACTAATAAAATAACAAATTAGTATAAATTTACAAATTTATATAGAAATCTTAATTAAAAATAACTAATTATTTATGAAAATATTTATATAATATAAATTTATATATCATAAATCTCAAATAAATCAAAAACTTTATAATATTAATATAGATTTTAAATAAAATTTTAAAATAATGAATTTATTAAAATACAGTATACATTTAGAGATTGGCAAATATAAAGTTTCTAGAAGATTTCTCATGAATAAATTTCTATATAAATTTAAATTTATTGTAATGCTATGGGATCCACATATCTAAAGCTATTGTAATATTATATTAATTAGACATATTATACATACATATGTATAATATTATACTATAATATATATTACACTACTATACAAAATAGGATACCTATATACCCGGGTGTTCTACGAATCTTTACTATTCAAATACAGTACTTATCAATGCATTGCTTATATAATGGTTGAATAAAGATTCGTATAACACCCGGGTATAAAATAATAATTATTATTTAATAATAATCAATTTTGTAAAATTTTATTCGTCATTTTATTTTATATATATCATAGTTTAATATAATTAAACTAATTATTTACTTTATTTAATAATTAAAATACTAATAATAATATTTAATTATTAAAAAAATGTCAATACAAAATAACAAATATCTAGAAAACAAATTAACATGGTGATCCCATAGATAGAAATTTCTCTATTATTTTATAAATTTCTATTTTTTACCAACACTAATACAATATAAACAATATTTTACTAAATATAATAATTAATAAGTTAATAATATACGGATTTCTTTGTTTAGTTTTTAAAAAACTATTTATTAATAATAATATTATAATTATTATTTAATAAAACAAATTAATAATTTTATTTGTATTAAATTATATGAAATATAGATTTATTAATTTTAACTAATAATAAATATCTGTAAAGTATAGATATAACTTAAATTTATATAAATTATAGATAATATTATTAGATTAATATATTGATTACAAAATAATTAAATATAAATATATAGTATTTGATATTATATACATTAGTGTAATTTAAATAAGAAAGTATTGTATTTACTTTACACAACAAATAAAGACTAAGTCTTCAAATATAAATATTCAGTTTTTAGTTATGAATTTTAAAGACAACAAAATGATATCTAATAAATTATAAAAATTTTTATTTTCTGCTTCAAATAACATCAAATAATATATACACAGAATATTCTGTATGCAAATTATGCACAACTGTATAGTATATTCCCAACTGAAGCACACCATTAAAAGTCAATGACAGCGCAGACAAATAAATTGACTTTTATTTTACATAATATATACAGATATGATATGTGAGAGACGTTTTGTGGATAAAAATAATGAGCACTTTATTGAAGTATGTTTTGACGTTAGCTATCATTTACTATTAAAGTTTGAAATTTTTTATTCTTTTGATATTATCTATGAAAAGCTTTAATAAAATACTTTATTTTAGTTTTAAACTCATTAAAAAAATTCTCTAACAATTTTATAGATAAAGTATAATATTTGTGATGCTTTTAAAATCATTTATCACAACTTTATAAATGTCAATATTTAACTAATTATTTGGTTGTTTAGTTTTTTTAAATCAAAAACACACACACACTCACTCATACATACAAACATACCGTATATATAGAAATATAGGACTAAAATATAAAGTATTAGTAGAGTTTTCAAACTGATAACCTATTAGAGTGAATGACTGGTAGTCCAACAATTGTGTATAAAAACTCAACTTAGATTTTTTTGTTGATCAATATATAAGTAATTTTAGAGTAAATCTAACTAAATCTACAGTTAAAGTCTAATGTAGTGAACATTTTATGTGTCTATAATTTAGTTGGATTTCCGGTTGACAGTCACTATTGGATAGTTGGAGAGTCCATCATCTAATGCTTGTGCATACTATCGGAATGGGATCTAACTCTGGAGCGTGTCTTTCAAAAAAATATCAGTTCAATACACATATACTGTATACATATCACTGAACTGTATTGTATTTATACGAGTCCTCAACACTTATTGTCACGTCTGATGTCTTTATATCACATTTTTCTGTTTTTGTTTGATAACTCATATTTTACAGAATAAGCTTATTATTATTATTATTATAGAAAAAATAAATTACTTTTTGTTGGTTTATTAATGAAAAATATTTCCTATTTATATGTTTTGGCGAACTAATCATAATCTACATTCACTATAAATACATACAGTAAATTAAATATACTATAATATATATATAATGACTGAAAGCATTCAGATAATGGTTTTTAAAAATAACAGAAATTACTATTTAAAAAATCAATTCTGATTAGAGATGCTACCAAAAAAAATTAAAATTTAGGAATTTTCTCAAAAATATATATATATATAGTCTATATAAATCAAATGTAAGAATTATCTAAAATAAAAATAATTAATATTGTTAATTTACTAGTAAGTTGATCCTATTATACCTATTGTATAAATTGTTATACAGTATATATACAGTAGGTATGATTTAAATAAAATTGGTTGATCTAATACTTAAACATATTTTATTTATAGTATTTTTTATTATAGATATTTAAATTTTTTAAATATTACTATATTAATATACTAAAAATCATTTTCATATTTAAAACTTTTACATCAATTACAAAACTTTTATCATTTTACTATTTTTTATATTACTGTAATGTTACTTGAAATGTCATTTTAGGAATATTTTTATGTTAATTCTATAGATAACTATTCCTTTTTTAGATACTAGAAATTTTCTGGGATTTTTATCATTTTATAAATTTCTATATTTTATCAAGTTTTTAAAAAATTTATTTATAGACTGAATTTTAAACGAAAATTTTTATAATCAATTTAATTATAGTAACAATAGCTTATGTATTCATTTAATTGTTTTGCCATCAAAATTATTTTATTAAAGTTTATATTGATTTGTGATGCGATGCGTATCGAAACAAATGAATGACTTTGTGTTAATTAAGTCATTATAATTTTGTCACACATAGAGTACAATCATTATATCGTATATTTTGTTTATATTGCGTTACTGTTTAATATATTATATCTTACATAACATTAATGTAAATGTTATGTTTAATAGCCTATCTCTCTCTCTCTCTCTCTCTCTCTCTCTCTCTCACTCACTTGTTATATCAAATTATAGATTTAGCTAAACTTCTCTAATAAAGTTTACATTTAATTTTATCAACTAACAAAATAATTAACATCTATTGTTATTAATATTTAATGAAATATAATTAATTAATTTTTCTTAATATAACACTTAAAAAGCTTTTTAATAATTTATATTTATATAATTGTATATTCATTAACATTGATAATCTGAAATAATAATCTTCAATAAAATATTATGATTATATAATATAATTTATATTATTAAAGCTTAAAATTATGGTTATTTTTAATTTTGTCAATTATGTTTTGACTATAATATTTTTAAAACCCATTACATTTAATCAACAATAATTTATTGTTTTACATAAACTATTAATTATTTAGAAATGTTTTGAGTAATATATTTATAACATTTATAAATAATGAGTTGTCATTTCAATTGCTTAGTAGTTTTAAACTTAAAAATAAGTTATCATTTAGTTTATCACAAACTCCTGAAAGGAGATCGTATATGCATTCTATAAGTCTGTCGGTCGGTCTGTCTGGTGTCCCACGAGGACATAGGTTCGAATCCACACTCTGCCACACATTTTTTGATTTTTTTTCTTTCTTAAGTTAAGGAGTTCGTATGGAAATTCTTTTGAAGCATTCTCAACTGGTTTTAACTATAATTTATGAAAATATTTTGTTTGCAATTTAGCATGCTATTTTATTTAACAATATTATACTTGATATTTTATTTATTGTATTTTATACAATTGTAAAAAGTTATAAAAATATATGTTTAAATTAATAACATATTAAAGTAAGAAAAATATAATCATTTAGTAATTATCATAAATTACACATAAATTAGTACATTAAATTTTTTTAATAGTGCATTATTTGGCAAAAATTAAGTTTGATTTTTAGTTAATACAATCTGT